GCTCTTAGAAATTTAATGAAAATGACCAGCAACCTAAAAGAAAAAGTAAAGGAAAGACCAGGTAGTTCAAGAATAAATAGAAACAGTCCTGAAACTTGTAAATCTCAACTCAAAATGAGAAAAGTGCAGATTCAAACTATAAGGTACTGTTTTTAATCCATCACAGTGACCAAAAGCTTTTATACCCCAGTTCTGCTTTTTTTTGTTTGTTTATTTTTGAGACAGAGACAGATCGTGAGTGGGGGAGGGGCAGAGGGAGAGGGAGACAATCTGAAGCAGGCTCCAGGCTCTGAGCTGTCAGCACAGAGCCTGATGCAGGGCTCAAATCCACAAACCATGACATCATGACCTGAGCCGAAGTCGGACGCTTAACTGACTGAGCCAGTCAGGCACCCCCACAACAGTTCTGCTTTATATCTTATTATAGTTCTTTTATCTGTATAGAAATTAATTTCTCTGAGTATGAGGCAGGTTCCTATGAATCACAGTGAAATCTTCCTGAGAGATACCCATTTTCCCAAATTGAAAGGTGGCAATTTTCTGGCTACACACCCTGGTGCCAAGGCTTTGTGGGATGGCAGGCACTTGTGTGCTGCTGGGGCTGCTGCGTGACACAAAACAGCACAGTGCTTTTGAAAAGAACCTGGCAGTATTTACCAGAATTACAGATGCATTCAGTCTTTTGATCCAGTAATCCTGCTTCTGGGAATAATTCCTACAAATATACCTCTACATATTCAAAATGACATATATACGAGATTGTTGCAGTAACGTTTGTAATAGTAAAAGATTAGATGACCCAGGTATTGAGCCACAGTTAACTGGCGAGTAAATAACGTATGGTACGTTTACATATAAGGAAGAAGTCTGTAACCTGATTTGGAGGGATCGTCAGGATTATGTGCAAGTGAAAAAAGCAAGGTACAAAAAATGTGTGGTTTGCTACCTTTTTTATCTTTTTAAGAAAAGGAAGACTCCATATTTTTATTTGCTTCTTTATGCTTAAAGAAAATTGTTTGTTAATAAAACTAAAAATGTTGCCTATATGGAGATACGGGACAATAGCAAGACGTGTATACTTCTCCATGTTGCTTTGAGTTTTGAACTATGTAAACATAAAATATTAAATAAAATTGCATAGCAAGAGAATTTAAATCAAGATAAGAAGAGTGCAGATGGTTGTTACTCCCTCTAAGGCCAGCGTTTCAACGGCGTAGTTGTCAGTCAGCCTAAGCCTGGTCTCTTCCATTTCACACCTCATTCTCAAAAATCACACGCTGACTCTTCCGACAGGCTTGAAGGAATTGTAATATACAGACATGAAGTTGTATTACATATTATATATTGTTATATATATAATATATATGAAAACTCAGTTCACTTCTGACATGCATTTTTGCAACACTTTGCAGTTTAGAGCAACAGTAAAAAGGCACAGGGGTAGCTGAGTCATGGCTTCTAAAAATTTCTTCTTTAAATTGAAAATTGTTCTTTGATTATCTGTTACATTGATAGAATGTATTCACTCTGGAAAATCATTTGGTAGCACTTTGGGTTGAAGGCTAAAAATAGCCTTGATTGCCTTAAATTATCTTAAAACTTCTATATTTGTGATTTGAAACTTCTCTATTTTGTAATAGGAACTAAAAGGGCGTACAAGCTGTTCCTAGGGGGACACTTTGCATGGGAGAGGCTAATATCAACAAGAAGGCTAATATCCCTTCTTGTAGGACAGCATTCACCAGTTATAGTTAATCTCCTCTAATTAAAATCAGTGACTGAGAATGACTAAATCAAGTAGACATGATCTTTCTCTAACATATGGAACTGAAGACTTCTAACAAAAAGGCTGCTTGGCCATTGCCCCATTATTGCAAACGCTACACATCACACAGTCCTTGAATCTCCAAATACATTTATTTTTTTTTAATCATAGTTTCTCACAGAACCCCTAGGAATATCTTCGTCTCTCCAGAACCCCACTTGGAAAACCTCGGTTTGGAGAGTTTTCAAAAACTACTTGAGCAAAGCCATGGGCAGTGTATCAAACAATAGGAAAAACGGGGAGAAAAATAACCAGATTATGAAAAGTTATTCTTATAGACTGACTTATGTGGTTGTTTTTGCCATCTGTTTTAACTATGACTTATGTTATCCAATCATATACTCAGTTGTTTACTTGAAAAATACGAGGGACGGGACACCTGGGTGGCTCAGTCACTTAAGATCCGACTTCAGCTCAGGTCATGATCTCACGGTTCATGGGTTCGAGCCCCACTTCGGGCTCTGTGCTAACAGCCGGCTTAGGGCCTGGAGCTTATTTCAGATTCTGTATCTCCCTCTCTCTCTGACCGTCCCCTGTTCATGCTGTCTCTCTCTCAGAAATAAATAAAACATTAAAAAAAAAAATTTTAAAAGAAAAATATGAGGGAGAATTTGTGATATAGTCTGTAAAAGTTTTGTTTATACCATTTTGTGTTTTTAGGGCTGCTCTTGAAGAAAATCCTTATTTCCGTTTGAAGAAAGTTGTGAAATGGTATTTGTCAGGATTCTATAAAAAGCCAAAGGTAATGTTTATATTTTAACTTTTTTAAGTTTATATGAGTTCTTTTTTTTTTTTATGTTATCTTTATTGAAAAGCATTACAGGGCCTCTGAGTTAGCAAAATTGCAAAATACTTAATCGTTTAGACCTGCATTATGATTAAAGTCATTTCATTTTATTTCCTGTCTCTACTGTGAAGTTTTATAAGGATGAGAGAGTTAAACCCATTTTGACTGGGAGGAAGGGGGCATCTTCCAGATTCGTATTTTGAAACTCGTATATTTTTTTCTTAGGGACTGAAGAAACCTTACAATCCTATACTTGGTGAGACTTTCCGTTGTTTATGGATTCATCCCAGAACAAACAGCAAAACTTTTTATATTGCTGAACAGGTATTAGAAATGCGTGTTACAGAAACAAAACTGTTTCCGAAGTTATTGGAATATCTTAATAAAAAATATTAACTCAGTTGGGCACCTGGGTGGCTTAGTCGGTTAAGCATCCGACTTTCGCTTAGGTTATGATCTCGTGGTTTGTGGGTTCAAGCCCCGTGTCGGGCTCTGTGCTGACTGCCATTTCAGAGCCTGGAGCCTGTTTCGGAGTCTGTGACTCCCTCTCTCTCTGACCCTCCCCTGCTCTCTCTCTCTCTCTCCTAGAAATAAATAAAATATTTAAAAAAATATTAACTCAGTAAACTCACTGTCGATTATTAACCTTTCTTATTAGTGAACATTTGGTAAGCACTTAATCTTTTAGTACTCAGTATGATTAAATACCATACTTACAGGTGTTACTATTACAGTCATGGAATCCTGTAACCAAAAATAAATCTTTATTTTTCCTGAGCCTCCCCCAACCCTGATTTTGTTTCCTTTAAAAATTATTCAGTGGTTTCCTAGTTCCTAAATCAGATTTACACCTGTTGGTCTGGCATTCAAGGTCTTCCTTATCTTTCTAAATCTCAAATCTGATGCCTTTCTGAACCTTCTACAGTAGTCAGACCTGTCTGCATTCACAATTAGGTAACCTGATTTTGCACTTTTTTGCCTCATTGTTTTTAAATTTAATTCTCTCATCCCAGTATTTCTTCTCAGCTATTCTCCATCTAAACCATCCCTAACCGGGGAGCCTGGGTGGCTCAGTTGGTTAAGTGTCCGACTGTAGCTCAGGTCACGATCTCATGGTTTGTGGGTTCAAGCCCCATGTTGGGCTCTGTGCTAACAGCTAGCTCAGAGCCTGGAGCCTGTCTTTAGATTCTGTGTCTCCCTCTCTCTCTGACCCTCCCCTGCTCGTGCTGTCCCTCTGTGTCTGTCAAAAATAAATAGAAAACATTAAAAAATTTTTTTACATAGGGGCGCCTGGGTGGCTTAGTCGGTTAAGCGTCCGACTTTCGCTTAGGTCATGATCTCACGGTTCGTGGGTTCGAGCCCCGCGTCGGGCTCTGTGCTGACTGCCAGCTCAGAGCCTGGAGCCTGTTTCAGTCTGTGACTCCCTCTCTCTCTGACCCTCCCCTGCTCACGTTGTCTCTCTCTCTCTCTCCTAGAAATAAATAAACAAAAAATATTAAAAAAAAATTTTTTTTACATAAAAAAATAAATAAACCAACCCTAACTTGCCCTTCTTTCATGATCCAAGCAACTGCAGCTCCCACTGATTTCTCCCTTCTGTATTATTTTTTGTGATTACCCATTAAGCTGCTATTTTAACACTTACATTAACTTTTTACAGAATTATTTATTTCCCTAATCAAATTGTCAGCTCCTTGAAGGAATGTCCTCCCTACAAACCTTTCTTTTCGTTGTACACATACGAGGCAATCAAAAATATTTCTTAGTTTTGGGGCTCCTGGCTGGCTCTGTCCATGAAGCATGCAACTCTTGATCACAGGGTTGTGAGTTCAAGCTTCACGTTGAGGGTAGAGATTGCTTAAAAATAAAAGATCTTTAAAATTTTTTCTTGGTTTTAATCTTTCATTAATTTAGACATATATACATCTTATTCATGATTCTTAATCTTTCCCCCATCCTTCCCTTTACTACCTGGTCCTGAGGAATATGACATTATTTCTCAATAACAATGACCCCTTACTATACTAATTCTCATGTGCAGTTTAAGAAGGGTAAGGAGACTGTATGTCCTCTGAAAAACCATCCTCTTCTTAGAGATTTTGATATAGCTCTTGAATTGAAACCACTTATCTGTATATTCATTTTTTTAATTATTGATTATACCACCTTGCATTTTAGTTCATTATAATTCCTTGCTAAATTGAGAAGCTTGAGTTTGATTTTAGCTCTGATTCATTTCAGAAAACATAATGTGTATATAGTTTGAAAATATAGATTACTAAAGTAACATTTGTCAGTTTTGTTTCCTACAGCCTATTTGGTAATCCTTACAAAGAATGGCTGCTGTATTAGCTATCCATTGCTATATAAATAAATGACTGCCAAAACTTAATGGCTCAAAACAAACATTTATTAGCTCCTACAGTGAGGTGTAGCAATCTGAGAGCTGCTTAGCTGGGTGGTTCTGGCTCATGGTCTCTCATGAGTGTGCAGTCCAGATGTCAGCAGCTTTGCAATCATCTGAAGACTTAGCTGGGCTGTAGGGTATCACTTCCAAGCTCATCACATGGCTTTTGACAGGAACACTGAGTTCTCCTCCATATGGGCTTCTCCATAGCGTTGTTCACAACATGGAAGCTGGCTGCTCAGAGTTAATGATCTGAGAGACAGAGACACCAAAATGGATGGTACATCATAACTTAATTTCAGAAGTGACATACTGTCACTTTTATACAAACTTACTTTGGTACACTGTAAGAGGAGCCTATCTAACGGTGTGAATACCAGAAGGTGGTTTCCTTGGGAGATATCTTGGAGGCTGGTTACTACAATCAATGTTTAATTTTACCATTTACCAAACATTTCTAATTAATTATTACAGTATACTGTTAAGGCTTGAACTTTGATAATAGCACAATAATGCACTTATGTTGTTATATTTTACTTTTTTTTCTGTGTTCAATAGGTGTCCCATCATCCACCAATATCTGCCTTTTATGTTAGTAACCGAAAGGATGGATTTTGCCTTAGTGGTAGTATCCTCGCCAAGTCCAAGTTCTATGGTGAGTTTCCCCTTGTCTCAGCCTGCACCTTTTTTCTGGAAGGTGGTTATTTCCTGGTGAGCTTTTCTATAGACAGTGTCTTGGGCTGTTTTCAGCAAGGAATTTATGTTATTTTCAGTATCATCTTTACTTGGAAAATGGCCTTTCCTTTATAGTGTTTTCTTTGCCCATTCATAAGTATGATTCATAAATAGGATGCATTTTGTGTAAGTATTCATCACATATAAATTCATCACAAACACCACTTATCAAAAGACAGAATGATTAACCACTCTTAGCCATTTTAGTGCATAATGTACTTTTTTGCCTTTAGTCCCACTGAAGTTTTTTGTTCTGTCTCATTGTACCTGAGGAGTTGGTCATTCTATTTAGTCTTTGATTAAAGAGAGAAAGAATACAAGTACAGTTAGAATACTTGGTCCAGGGTCAGTCAGTAATGATAATCAATCTTGGGCCAAATAACATACTAATAAAAACTTTTGTTAGTACAAAGGAACATAGTGAAATATGGTTATTATAGGAAACTATAATCTAAAAACTATGACAATTCAAACAGGCAAATGGCCAAAGCCGTACACTAGTAGAAAGTATTTAACCTTAAATACTTTTGTTTTTTAAAATTAATTTTTAAACAGAAAAAATCAATGAATTAAATGAAGAATTTTAAATCTGAGAAAAAAAATTATGGTAAAATTGGGAAAATATGTCAACAGAAACCAGGGGTCTAGTTACTTGACAGAGTGGAGAACCATAGATGGGACTGTAACAGGGAAATCTAACAATAGTTTTTGATAAAAGAATATGGTATATGCTTTTATTTTTCTTCAAGGTATCTTTTCTGTCTTCTGATGTTTGTTTTGGGGTTTGATTTGGTTTTTCTGCCTAGTTTTACATTTTTCTTGTTTTAGAAGCTGATTTTTTTTTCTTCTATATTTCGGTTGTTCTCTTACCACTTTAGATCTCATCCCTCCATGCCCCTCCTCTGACTATAACATAAATGACTCATGAGTATGTGTTCTGCACTTGGAGAAATTTTAATGAGTACCAAGTGCATCGCTCACTTTCTGGGATTACTTCAGTAGTTAGCCTTCTTTTTTCTATGTTATATTACAATTTTTGTATATCAGAGCTTTTACTTTACATTTTGAAAGAATTTACTGAATTCAGGCCTTGTAGGGTCACTTTTTTGATAACGTCCTCCTTCCGTTGGTTATTGAATTCTTTGTATAGAAACTGCTAGGTGAGTTGATAGTTTATATAGGCCTAGGAATATTAGTTCATTTTTTTAGTCTAAATTAAGCTAAATTTAAAGACATCTGGACAGAGTATATGCCTTTTAACATGTAGTCTCTTTCTTGACATTTTGTAGTTAATGAAAAATTAAAGGTATATTATGCAAGCATTAAGTACAATTGAGTGGCCATATTAATAAATTTTAAGACAAAGTATTAACAGATAAAGAGCATTTTATAAAGATAAAAGGCTTAATATATCACCATAATAATAACTGTATGCCTAATCACAGACCTTCAAAATACATGAAGCAAAAATAGAATTAAGGGGACAAATAGACAATTCTAGAATCATTGTTGTATATGAACACTCTCTCCTCAGCAAATGATGAGACAACTAGATAAAATATAAGCAAAGACACATAAGACCTGAAGAACACTATCAACCACCCTACCCTAATTGATATTTTTAAAATAGTACAGCAGACAATGACAATACACATTATTTTTAAGTATATATATGGTGCTTTCACTGGTAATGATCACATTTGATGATAAAATAACTTTCCATAAATTTTAAAAGACAGACTACATATAGAGCATGTTTTACAACCTCAAGAAAATAGAATTAGAAATGAATAATAAGATATCAAGCTCCAAACATTTAGAAATTCAACAACACACTTCTACAATCCTTGTATCAAAGAAGAAATCGTAAGAGAAATTAGCAAATATTTTAAACTAAATGATCATAAAAATGCAACATGCCAAAATTGTGGCAAAGGTGGTGTTTAGAGGGGAATTTATAACTTTGTTAGAAAAGAAGAAAGATCTAAATCAGTTATCTAACTTCTTACCCTATGAAATTAGAAAAAGAGCTAATTAGGGGCGCCTGGGTGGCTCAGTCGGTTAAGCGTCCGACTTCGGCTCAGGTCATGATCTCACGGTTTGTGGGTTCGAGCCCTGCGTCGGGCTCTGTGCTGACAGCCAGCTCAGAGCCTGGAGCCTGCTTCAGGTTCTTTGTCTCCCTCTCTCTCTGACCTTCCCCTGTTCACGCGGCCTCTCTATAGTACATTCCTATGATGTAATAGACAGCAATGAATACACAATGTGGATAAACCTCAGAAACATTATGATGAACTATGCTAAATGAAAGAGGTCAAATGCAAAAAGACTACATACTATAGGATTCCATTTTATGAAATTCTAGAAANTCTCCCTCTCTCTCTGACCCTCCCCTGCTCATGCTGTCTCTGTCTCTCTCTCTCTCTCTCTCTCTCTCTCAGAAATAAATAAAACATTAAAAAAATTTAAAAAAAAGGTTTCAAAAGAAAAAGAGCTAATTAAATTCAAAATAAGCAGAAAAAAGGAAATCATGGCGAGCAGACATCAGTGTAGAAAGTGGACAAACAATACAGAAAATCAGAAAATATAAGAGTTGATTGTAGACTGATCAAAAAAAAGTGCAAATCAGTAATAAATGATCACAATCACTGCTGATCCTACAGATACTGAGAGAATGATAAGGAAATATTATGAGCAATAAATTTGACAGCTCAGATGAAATGGGAAAATCCCTGAGAAAACAAAATTTACCAAAACTGACCCAAGAAGAGCATAAAATTTTAATGGCCTTAAATCAGGGAAAGAAATTGAATTAGTAATCTAAAATCTTCCTTCAGAGATATATTCCAGTTCCAGATGTCTTCAGTTCTTCTAAACATTTCAGGAAGAAATAATACCAGGGTACCTGGGTGGCTCAGTCGGTTGAGTGTCCAACTTTAGCTCAAGTCATGAGCTCACAGTTCATGGGTTCAAGCCCTGCCGTCAGACTCTGTGCTGACAGCTCGGAGCCTGGAGCCTGCTTCAGATTCTGTGTCTCCCTCTCCCCCACTGATGCCCTCTCTGTATCTCAAAAATAACTAAATGTTAAAAAAATTTTTAAAGAAAAAATAAATTAAAAAGTAAACATTAATTTTTTAATGAAGAAGAAATAATACCAAAAAATCTCCAATTTTATACAACTTTTTACAGAAAATAAGAGGAAATATTTCTCAGCTCATTTTATGAGGCCTACATACCCTAATTCCAAAACCAGACGTTATAGAAAAAGTACGTATCATTATCTCTCATGAATATATAGTACATGCAAAAATCCTTGCCAAATTAGTAACAAATCAATATATATAAAGAGTAGTCTGTACATAAAAGGATATATTAAAAGGATATAGATCATGATCAGATTATCAAATGAAGTTTATCTTGAGGACACAAGGTTGGTATATCATTGAGAATCGGTGTAGTTCATGTTAATGGAATAAAAGAAAACCATATTTTAATAAAGGCAGAAAACGTATTTGACAGATTTCAACACCCAGTCATAGTAAAAACTCTTAACAAAGTAGGACTAGATTAAAGGTATCTGAAAAATAATAGCCAGCTTCATATTTGTAAGGTGAAAATTCAGTAATTTTTACTTAAGATCAGGAACAAAGATGCTGACTCTCACTACTTCTTTACAAAGTTGTATTAGAAGTTGTAGCCAGTGCAGTAGGCAAGTTAAAGGGAAAGCATACAGATTAGAAAGAAGGAAGTTAAAAAACCATATGCATACCTAGTCTATATAAGAAATTCTCAAGAATATATAAAAAACCACTAGAACTAATAAATGAATTTAGTAAGGTTGCTGGATACGAAGCCAAAATACAAAAGGCAGTTGTACTCCTGTATACTAATAATGAACACTTGCAGAATGAAATTTAAAAAACAGCTCCAATTATATTAGTATGTGAAAAATAAAATATTTAAGAATAAAAGGTGTGTAAGACTTATACACTGAAAAACTAAAAAGCATTGCTGAGCAAATTAAAGAGGATTAAAACTGTTATGAAATGCTGATAGAACAGCATGGATGAATCTGAAAAACATTTTGCTAAGTAAAAGAAGTCAAACACAATAAACTATATATTTTATGATGCCATCTGTACAAATTCTAGAATAGGTAAAATTACAGTGGTAATTTTAACAGACCAGTGGTAAAAAACAGACCAGTGTTTTCCTGGGGCTGTAGGAAGGGATTGACTGCCAAGAAGCAAAGGAGAACTTTTTGTGGTAATGCAAAATTTCCATATCTTGATTGTGATGGTGATGGTTACATGACTGTATACAGTTGCGAAGACTGTCAAAATACACACTTAAAGTGGGTCACCTAATGTATGTAAATTGTACCTCACTAAAACTGATGATGGGGGAAAGAAAAATACACTTGGGAGAAAAGCTAGAAGAAAATACCATGAAATTTTATCATCAATTGCATTTTGAAGGATTGTGCTTATGTTTTCTTTTCCTAATTTAGTAGTAGTATGTCAATCTTTAGTACTTCAAGCTTGGGACTTAACTATGTAACTTACAGATAAGAAATAATGTTTTTATTCAAACATTAGATATACTCTTAAGCCATACCATAAAGCAGTGTTTTATTGCATGCCCCACATTTTTAAGATTTTTAAGAGCCTCATCTAAAATAATACAACAAGCACATAACTGTACCTTTTTAACGAACTCATTTTGTAAGACCGGGAATATGGGTTATATATGTTTTGGATATGAGATAACAAATATATATTTGGGCACATTGAGATTGAGACATTTCACTGTAAATCTGTGAAGGGTGTCCTAAATGTATTTTGTTAATTTTGAATTGGTTGCATTGGTTTTGTGTAATTTAATAAATATTTATTTTAGGAAACTCATTATCTGCAATATTAGAAGGAGAAGCACGATTAACTTTCTTGAATAGAGGCGAAGATTATGTCATGACAATGCCATATGCTCATTGTAAAGGTATTTCCCATACATGACTTAGATATTCCTTAAACCTTTTTAAGTAAATGTATATGGCTGTAATTTGTTGTTTTATGATTGATGGAGTCAGCCTTTTATTTGAAAGCATCCTTGGTTTATAGATACTGAAGATTATTGCTATCATCTGATGAATATTTCTGTGGTGAATTAATTCACCCACATCAGACTTTTTATGACACAGTTGGAAGAGTCTGATTTATAATAATGGAATTTCATTTGCCTAATGTGAAGGTTTTAAGATCGATGAAACCTCCCATTATTTCAAAATCTTAAAAAGTGATTTTGATTTTCTTATACCACCACACCTTTTAAAATTTTAATTTCCTACTTTTTGGTGTACTAAATTCTTTAAAAATATTTCTTATTCTCATTTGGCAATTTCTTAAAAACTAATGTATTATACTTTTTCCCCATTATTAAAGATATTAAGATAAAGATACTAAACTATCATTTACAACAGGTCAGGCATCCAACCATTCTGTGCATTTACATTGATAAACTCATTTAATCATTCCAGCAGTCCTATAAAGCAGATAATTTTGTCTCTGTGTTATGGATGTGGAAAATGAGGCACACACATAGGTTAATTTGCCAGAGATCACATAGCTCAGATGTGGCAGAGTCCAGATCTCTGTGACCTGCACTACTATACTTTAGGGCCTCAGCATGGTCATTATCTGTATATTCCTCTCCAGCCCATTTTTTAAAAATAATGTTTTTGGGTAATTATCCTCTTTTAGGAACTGATTCATGTAAACATGGAAATTATTTAATGTGGCCTCATTTCATAGAAGCAAAAACTGAGAGTTTTAAGCACCTTACCTAAACTAAATCAGCTACTTAGTAAAAATGCTAAGACTGAACTCTAGACTTGACTCCTGTCGACTGGAACATGGACCTACCTTGTATGAAGTACAAGAGTGGCCACCTTGTGACCTCGGGCTGGATAATTCTTAGAGCTTCATGTATGGTTCTTGAAATAGATATGATGTGAAATATCTGAAATTATGAACGGAATTGATAAATACATTTTTTAATTTTATATCATGTAAAATAAAGAAAATGATATTTTATATAGATACTCAATGCCAGTGTGGGGGTTTTTGCATGAAAAAACGAGATTATAATAACCTCTTTGTGAATGAGCATAGGAAATAATGATTGCTTTCCAACCTTGTGTATTTTCTAAGATGTGTTCCCCAAATCATTAATCTCACAAATTGATTTACAAGATGAGTTCCATAGCCAAAGAAGTAGGAGAAACACTGCATTGTCTGGTCCCCTCTTGGAAATTAACATTGTACATTTGCATATTAAAGGCAACTTTAACAGTTTCATACAACAGACACACACACACACACACACACACAGTTAAACTTTAACAAAGTTAAATTGAATTTTCTGAACTTTTAACCACAGAACCTATTTTGAGGGAATTTTTTTATATGTTTGTCTTATTTATACAGTTGATCTAATGTTATTTGTAGTAGCTATGTTCCATGAAGTCACCACAAACACTCTTTTAATGAATACTAAACCATTGCTCCTAGGGAAAGCACAAGGTTAGGTTCCTGTGAGCCTCTTGTCACATTTTCATCGACCGGTCAGTACATAACCTTGCTCCTATTCAAAGATCCTTATTATATATTATTGATTCATTAACATTGAACTAACAGCCAACAGCACTATAACTCATGCTTGAGTCAAGATTTAATGTACACTTTCTCCATAAGATACATTACAGCTTTCTGTACTTAGGAATGCTACCCAGTACTTTAGCACTACACTTGGGGGAGGGGGGGAGGATCATTTTTAAACAACAAAATCCCCAACAAAAACCACCAAAATGTGAAAAATTTGGCACTTAAATATACTGCAAAAAAGGCACTTGTTTACCAAATGATAGGTGAAACCAGAAGGCAGTGTTACCTTGTTCAGTCTCAGCTGACAGTTTGCACATTGAACAACTCAAATTTTTCACCACTCTGTGCATGTTCATGAATGACTACAGAAGTGCTGTAGATATTTATTTGGGGATTGCTAACATATTTTAGTAAGAATGTGAATTCTCAAATAATTAGATCTACAAATGGAATGGAATCGGCAAATAATTGTATCCTCTGTTAATCTATTTAAGTCTTACAGAAACAACTTTATGTGTATGTTACTGATTGTTAATAGGTGGGACAGAATGCTCTTGAATTATTAGGTTCTCCTAGGAGGAGATTAGATTATAAAGTTCTGCTTATTACTAGCCAGTGTCTCTCTTTCTTCAACCTTTTGTCAAAATTGTTTTGTTTTTTTCCTTAGGAATTCTTTATGGCACAATGACACTGGAACTTGGTGGAATAGTCAATATTACATGTCAGAAAACTGGATACAGTGCAGTACTTGAATTCAAACTAAAGGTTAGTAGAGATAGTAGAGATAATCACCCAATTAAAGAAGATCTGTGTTATAAATATTGAACAAAGAGCACAGTTTAGTTCCTTATTTAAAAAATAAATATGACACAGAATTCATCAATGGGCAGCCTTGGCAGATCCAAATCAACGCAAAGCCATCATTTTTTATTTTTAATTTTAATAAATTAAACTGTTGGTATAATATAGCAAATGAGATATATGAACTAAATGGATAGAAATTTCTCAGTATATTAAAACATTACTTTAAAAAATAACAAAAAGCATGTATCGGCTTGAGCTATAGTTGTGTACCCTAATTGTATTAAATACTATTTTTGCCTAACAATTTACTCAAAAATTCACAGCCTTAAAAACACCTTGTTCTGAAATACAGGGGCACTATAATTTGGACAGAGTATATTGGGGATGGCTTATCTCTGCCGTATAACGTTTGGAGCCTCAGTTGGGAAGACTTGCAGGTTGTGAGTGACTCAGCAACTGGGGCCAGAATAATCTGAAGGCTCATCACTTCCTTGTCTGGTGCCTGGGTTTGAGACAGCTAAAAGACGGCGACTGCTGATCTGAGCACCTCATATGTGTGGCCTTTCCCTGTTGCTTGGCTTCCTCACAGCATAGTGGCTTCCAGGTAGTCAGACTTCTTACTTGGTGGCTCAGCGTTCCAAGTGTAAGTGTTCTTGTGACCACAGTGGAAGCTGCATTGCCATCCATGACCTGGTCTCAGAAGTCCAATGACATCACTTCCACCATTTTCTATTAGTTGAAGAGTTATAAGCCCACTCAAATTAAAGGGGAAAGGGCACCTGGATGGCTTATTTGGTTAAGCATCCAACTTTAGCTCAGGTCATGATCTCATAGTTCACGATTTTGAGCCCCATGTCAGGCTCTCTGCTGACAGCACAAAGCCCACTTGGGAGTCTCTCTCTGATCCTTCCCCACTTGTACTTTCTTTCTCAAAATAAATAAACTTAAAAAAAAATTCAAGGCGAAGAGATATAGACCCCACTTCTCAATGGGAAGATGGCCATCCTTGGAAAATTCTGTCTGCCTCTGAGTGAAAGGGAAGTTTAAGACCTTTTCACTGTAGCAGATATTGGTATAGGACAATATATTATATTCAAGGAAAAATATTTCTATGAACTGTTTAATATTATTAAATTTCTCCTATATTGATATCCAGCTGATCAGCAACTTTGCTCTTTATTAAAGTATCTCTTTTAAGTATTTGGTGCAGTGCACTTTGTTGTTGTTTTTTTTAATCTTAGCAAATGTTTTGTTTGGTGATAGTGATACTTGAAAAATCATGACTAAAGATGTCTTAAGTAATTTATGATACCTTTAAGGGTTAGATTGGAACATCTAAATTGTGTCACTGATGAGCAACTTCAGTAAGGCAATGTAGTAGTAACTCAAAGTATATTCCTTCTAATTTAATTTTGGAGGATTTTTTGGTTAAGTATTGTTTTACTGTTTATTTTTGAAGGAAGGGGTATTATTTCTCCTAATAGATGGGTTAAATTCCTTAAGTCTACTGAATTGTTACTGCTTAAATTTACTGCAGCAGTGACAGTTGAGTCAGGAGAGAGCAGAGAACATGAGTTATCATTTGTGATCTTTCTCAACATCAACAATTTATTTGGATTTCACACAGTCTCTTTATTTTTACCTATTTTTTCCACAGCAACAAATTTCGATTTCTTTTCATTGAACATTTCTGACCAAAATATGAGTCAGCATTTCACCCTTGGTGCCTTTAGTAACACTGTAACTACATAATTACTTCTTTCCCTCTTTTTTGTCTACATTATATGTAAATATAAGATAAAAGTAAACTCTTTCTATAACATTTTCTCTTTTAAAAGCCATTTCTCGGTAGTAGTGACTGTGTTAATCAAATATCAGGGAAACTTAAACTGGGAAAAGAAGTTCTAGCTACTTTGGAAGGCCATTGGGTAAGTGTTTTTCTATTTTAGCTTTGACAAAAAGAATTTTATTCTCTGAAAAAAATTAAGAATCACATTTTATAAGTTCACTTATTCCATTCCATCACTATTCAGTATGAGCTTCAGCTTAACAAATATTTTGGCATTGATCTGTTATCAAGAATATTTAGTGTCTTTAATACTTCACCTTTCCAAAACTTTAATTCAATAAAAATAGCAAATACTTATCATTTAGCATATACTGCATTGTTTAAAAATGTTACGCGCATTAACTCATTTAATACTGGATAACTGTTATGAGGTGGGTACTGTTAACTGTCTCTGTATTACAGAGGGGGACACTGAGGCACAGAGACTTTAAACAATTTGCTCAGAGTGAGGGAACAAGAATTCTAGCCTGTGCACTCTGGCTCCAGGGCTGTGCTTCTACTCAGGGTAGTGTCCTGTCGCTCATCTAGATGAAAGAGGCATTTCCAGTTAGAATTACATTTCCTTTTCAGGAACATGGAAAGGGTATAGTGGTATTTGAAAGCAACGGCTTTTATTTATTTCTCTGCTGACCTAAATTCACACTTACCTAATTTTGTTAAGAGGAGCTTAAGTGAACAAGGATACATCATGGAACTGCCCTGGTGCACTGTCACTCTGAACACTGAGTATATGCTGTTTCCTGCCTTTTAATTAGAAAATGATGAGAAATGTGATGAGAAAGTGAAACTGCATCTGGAGACTTAACCAAGAGGCCGCATATGCTCTGAAATTTTAAAAATTTATTTCTGGAATAGATTTGGAAAATTTGGAAAACAGTTAAACCATCTTTTTGTTAAAAAAATGAAATTCCTAAGATTGTACTCAAATTTTTAATGCTAAGAAAGGCTCTTGGAGGTTTATGTTGAGTACGTAGGTAGTCAGCAGCATCTCAATATAGTTGTAGCAGGCACTGTGCTCCTCTTTGACAATTCAGAAATCATCGTCAAGGTTTTGCAAGTAATTGTTGGAGATGTGTTCATTAAGTAAAACTTGTGAAATCTCATTAACTTTTTTGTGTGTTCAACCAAAATTTTTAAATGACTAGAAGTATATATTTAATGGTTTTATAAAATGACAAGAGATTTGGAGCTTTTAGAAAAGTGCTAGTTTTATTTGTTTTAGAAATGTGTTTAACTGGGGTTACGTACAGGAAGAAAGTATTATTATTATGTTACTGTACTGAATAATCCTCTTTTAAGTAAGGACAGTTCTCTGTGTTAACTTTTAATTTCTTTAAATATAGGATAGTGAAGTTTTTATTAATGACAAAAAGACTGATAATTCAGAGGTTTTCTGGAATCCAACACCAGACATTAAGCAGTGGCGATTAATAAGGCACACTGTAAAATTTGAAGAGCAGGGAGATTTTGAATCAGAGAAGTAAGTATACCATTTTTCAGCTGACTTCGTGAACATCCAAGAATATGTTTTAATCCCTCAATAGTGTGGCCGCTTTCCTCTCTGTCAATTTTCAGTCACATTTTAATTCAGCAAAATAGTTTAACATTTGAGGGATGTGACAGTTCGTGTTCATTTGTTTGTTTTGTATATGTGAATGTCAAATAAATATGCAAATCATACTGGTTAAAAAATCTTACTGGTT